CTAGTCAGTATGTTTGCTAGTGAGCTGAATAATAGAACAGAAAAGTAATCTACTATGTACGTGTGGACAAACTGCAGTCGTACGAAAGCGCAGGATTGTAATTCAGAGTGAGTTGGATGAGTTAGGGGAGTAAGTTTAGGAAAAAGACAGTAAGCACTACAAGTTTGCAGCGGGGGCCATTTGAAGATTATTCCCCTGAGAACAGAATACCTTGGAAAGAAAATAAGTAAATGAATTGTCCTTACTTTTCCGGCGGTGGCCATGTGGTCTTGGAAGAGCTGTTGCAGGTGCTGCAGCAGGCTCGAGGGAAGCTGCTTTCAATCTGGCTGAAGCCCAGGATTGCGAAAAGCCCCAGTTGTGGACCCTGGGCCCTCCCGGGTACCCGCAGGTCAGAGCTGATAAGGAAAGCAGGGAGCACGGTAAGAGTCCTGGCATGGGGCCAGAGCGAGCCGTCACCAGAGAGCTGGGAGCGGTGGTTAATCTGCGTCCAGAGCTGGACAGCAGTGAGTGCAGAGTGCGTTGAGCAGAGGAGCCTGCTTGTGGTGGGGAAATGGCAATGAGAGGCAGTCACACTCCACAGAGTGCCGGGAGAAATCCTCCTGGGAGGCTTTTGTTGCTGGCTCACCTTTTGGTGGGCTCCCCTGCCGCCCCCTGAAACACACAACAGCGCTCAGAGACATTTTTCTCCTCCAACTGCTGCAGGGACATGTGGAGAGAGGAGATTCCTGGCACTGCTTGGGTTTCCTTGGAGTCCACCTGTTGCCAAAAGGTAACATTCGACCTGGCAGTGGCTAAGATATTTGCAAAAGGAATAAAAATTAAAAAAAAAATAAAATAAAATAAAAGGAGGGAAAAGTGTCCTAGGGAGAATAAACATGCAGGACAATTTGAAGAGTAGAAGTAAAACTTACTTAAGTATCTGTGGTGGTGCTGTGTTTTTTTTCACCTTAATGCCTGGCTACTATAGTGTGCTGTAGCAGATCCCCAGCCAAAAGGAGCGAGCTGGTCAGAAAGGGGAGGTTTTCCAAGGACACGTTTGTTTAACGTGTATGTAGCATCACGACCTGTTTGGCAAGGGGAGTCACGTCACACCCCTGTGCTCTCTTCTCACAGCTGTGGTTCTCTTGAGGCATCCAGCAAGCTAATCTATAGGAATTTAGAAGAAAGGGAGCAGGATAAGATGAGCGCCTACCGGCCCTTTGGTGCACTGTAGGATTTGGGAGCTGCTGCGCTTTCGGAGACCTCAGCCCCAGGGGTACGTATTTAGGGGAATCCTAGGCTTTGCATTGGCCTTTGCCACGGTGTGCATCAGCCCTGTCTCATGGTGGGTGAGAGAGCAGGTCAGCAGCAGCAGCACTTGTTTGCTGTTGGCAGGCCAAAACAGCTGCCTCCCTGAAGTCCTCTGGCCTGGCTCAGGCGTCCCTGGTGCAGAAGGGCAGCACTGCTGAGCCCTGCAGCTGGCTGAGCTCTTGCCTGGGGCAGGCTGGCCCGGAGGGGTGGCAGCGGCTTAGCCCCCAGGAAGTGTTGCTGGAAGCCTGTAGCCCAGCCCTGCTGGTTGAGCCCATCGTGTACGTGATGATGGCCAGCCCTTGGTCCCAAAAGCAGCCGTGCTCCCGCCACAAAACTGAGCACCTGGCACTATAACCGCCTCACCTGTGCATGGTGCATTTAGAGCCGCATTTCAGGGGTGCATGGTGTGCCTGCTGCTTCACCTCAGCTAACTGCTGCTTGCTGCTATGGGGTTGGCCTGTTCTGCCTGTGGTAAACAGCCCGACCCCTTGTTTACAAATTGCTGTGTAAACATGTTTGTCAGCTGCTCCTGACTGCACGGCTGCTTTTGTTTGAACTTGATAAGGTAGTCAGCCTTTTCTCTAGCGTTACAGAGGGTAAAGGCGATGGTACACATTTAAGAGAAGACAAAAGTGATTCCTAAGAGAATCATTAACAGCTTTAGTCCTATCAAGCCAACATGCCGCAATGGTTACCGTTAAGTTGTTGTAAGAGTGGCTGTTTAATATGCTGTGAGTGCCGCACAGGAGTAGGCACCCTCCTGCTAGCACTAAGCAATACCTTTTCCAGCTTACAGTCTGGCAGCAGTAACTGGCATGGAGGTGCTGACAGACCCTAGCCATTTGTAGTTGTTGCCTGAAATGTCATGGTGTGAGGTGGGAGAAAGCCACGAGGAGGTGGCAAGGTAGGGTGCTGCAGTCAGGCTGTCTGGGTGCACTGGAAGGGAGTGGGAGCCCTTTGGGGCTCCTGGCTCTTCACAGGCAAGCTCCCGACTGCAGGCGCAGACAGGGCTACTGCTTGTGGCCTCGCACCCACCTGCAGTACGTTGGAGTCAGCCGTTGGGAAAGTGGCTCTGAGGGCAAATGCTGGCCAGAGCTTTACGCTCACAGGAACCAACTCCTGACTCCCACTGGGCTCCTTGTTTGTATTTGCATAGGCATCTGCAGGGAGACCTGTGGCTGCACTAAGGCTTCCCCATGGAGCCATGCTGTAGGCCAGTATGAGCGATTTGTGGGCCCTGAGAGCCGGAGGTGAAAAAGCCCCCCCCAGTGTGAGCACAAAACAAGAGTGCTGCCTTATAAGATATGTCCCTAATAAGAATGATTTCAGAGCTGACTGTCCTGGGGCCTGGCACATACCCGCCTGAAGATACTAACAGCAGGTGTTTACTGGGCATGGCTTGCACGATCCTGAAAAGGCCAGAAACAAGGAGGTGTGTTGTGATTTAGGCCTTAGCTCAATTTTTTTCCTCTTCTTCCACTCTGACGTCTACTGATATGTTTGCTGCCATGTGGAATGCCTCAGAAACCCCGCTGAGTCTTGGATACGGGGGATCCTTACTGCCCTGTATGTTCCCTTCCTCCCACCGCAAGCTAGACCTAAACAAGCCTTATTTGGTGTCCGTTTAACTCGCAGTCCTTAGTTGTTGTAGTAAACCAGTTATGTCACCACAGAAAACATGTGGCAACAGTACTCTGAGCACTCAGCCGTTACTAGGTTCTTTTTTTCTATTACATCCACGTTACTTCGGATGAGCTGAATTAAGCCAAAGTAAAACGCTCTCCCTCTGTTTTGAACCTTTCAGTGATCCAGGTCACGCTGTTGGCTCACAACACACGGTGCCTGGAAAGAGCTGGGACCTCTTCAGCAGTACTGCACCTGAGAAGCGTTAGCCTACGGGCCAGAAAAATCTTCAGACCCAAGCGCACAGGTAACCCCACAGAAACAGCCATGTGAAGTTTGAGTCTTAATTGCTCGGTAAACTGAGTTTATTATACATATACGTGTTTAAGGATCTCGTGCTGTTATCTCTTGTTAAACGCATCCTCAAATCATTAACCAAACTGGGCTATTCAAGGACTCTTTCTGCTGAGACCAATACCTAAGGCCTCATTAGCACACAGCTGCCTTAGTTCATGTGCTCCCATGCCCAGCTACCATGCATTGGCGTGCATGCAAGCTCGGAGTAGTACTGTAAATGGCTGTTTAAATGAAAAGGCAATGTTGCCCATGCTCTCCAAGCTAGAAATAGCCTCTAAAACTTCCTGTTACCAAGTTACAGACACAGAAAGCAGTAGGCTTCTTTATGTTTGATATTTTGCAGACTGTTACCAAAGAAGTCAACTGTTTCTTCCTGTTTACCTTGTGTTCACACTTAAGGTTAAGAAGCCTCCCCTTTGTTTAATGGAACAAATCATGATGTATACTTGCGTTTATGCACATTGTTGCCCAAGCCTGAGGGTACACTTGTATAAATTGGCCAAAGATCTAAAACCACATTGACAGACAACTAAAACAGCTGCAAATGAGGACTAAGATTAAAAGACAAAGCCCCAGCTGTTTGAGCTCAAATGCTTGGAAGTGTTAGTTATAGAAAATATCCAGTGGTTAAGGAAATCACCTTTGTGATTTCCTTAAATAGCGTTTATTGAAATTATTAGTTCAAGCACATGGTCTTCTGGCTCGGAACACACACCAAACTTTTCTCCTTTGCTGCTACAGAGGAGTGACTGGGAGATGGATAGGGTAATCTAGGAAAAAAAAGGGGACTAAAACAATGATAGCCTTTCATAGGGTCGCCCTCATGTTTTTTTTGCCAAATTAATCCCCTTGCGAGAGGTTTTAAAAAAAAAAAATCAGCAAAATTGTGTGCATTGTCTTGCAAGAGCTTGCATATATCTAAAGCAGAAGAGTTTGGCATACTCCTGGGTTAAGAAAAAAGGAATAAACTGCATCTAATACAGGGAAAGGTTGTGCCACCCGTACTTCTTAGATCTCTGCAGTAACTTCCATACCTCTCAGGGAACGGGTTAAGCTATTTCCTAGTTCTGACTTGGGAGGTTTACTGAGCAGTATGGTAGCATTTATCTCCCGTATGTGTGAGCTATGTGCATAAATCTGCTAAACCTGCAGTTACCCTTTTTTTATTAAAAGATTGCATATTAAAAGCCATTTTAAAAAAGCCAAGCCTTTCCTAACACCTGTGACAGCATCAAGTACAATAATATCAGCACCGGCTGTTAAAAGAAAATTGCAGAAGAGTACGGATTAATTCAAGCAAGAGTCAGGACAAAGAGGTGGGAGGAAAAAGATTTATTGCCTTTATAAATGCTGTGCCTTGAAGACTGGGTTTTGCGCTTGATGCTTTTAGTGAAGGGTGGCGGTGGCAGACCTTTCAGAAATGCCTTGTTTTGCATTGCATAGCGGTTGTAGGGAGGACAATGAAGTTTGTACTGCTGTTAAGCCATCTGCTGCTTAGCATTTGGGAATCCTAAAACAGCAGGACGCTGCGAATACTGCAATGTAAAATGACAGGTTAGTGAGTGTAGGCAAGCCCCCCCCCCCTCCACCCCCGTGCCAACATCAGCAAGACACTGCTGCTTTCTCTGAAAATCTAGGACATCACTGCCAGCCACGGTACTCTCGCAGAAACTTGGTATCCACTGGCCTGGGGAGGAAGGAGAGGGGGAAGGCGAGCAAATCTGAAAGCTGCCAGGAGCATAGCTGGGCCTTGAGCATCTTCTTTCCCTTAGGAGGGGTCAGTTTATTTAAACACCTTCAAATCAAAGCATAAATGCAGAGATACCTGCTACAGCTAGCTTAAAAAAAAAAAGCACATCTAAGGTGTGAGCATTCCCATTTATTTTCAGGAATTTTTTTTTTGGGGGGGGGGGGGGTGCTGTTCAGAAGGAGCCTGCAAGAAAATAATCCTCACTTACCACCACGCTGGCTTATTGGTCAAGTGAGACTAGAGGTTATATTGATTGCTGGCAGGAATGATTGAGGCAGAGGGCAGGAAACTTAATTATCTTGAGGCAGACCTTGGCTTTCAAGCGCTGGTCTGTTACAGTGCAGTGGGCTTATCTAAGGTATGGGGACAGTGTGCATAGAGCAGATGCAGTCAGATAAGGCAATAATTCACTTTCTTGCAAAGGTTTAAAGGTTAGTCTGAACTCTCTAATGACTTTGGCTAAATAAATATTGGTACAGTGTGGTATGATCCTTACATGCTCTGTACAAACTGCTGTGAAGCAAAATTGCTCAATGTGGCACCAGCATGCCTCTGTCTTCAGGATGACTGTCACTATTTTAGCAAAGCTGATAGTATCTCTGCCCTCATCCCTTTCGCCTGTTATACTGGAGTCTAAAACTAACATTTACCGAAATGTCTAAAATAAGGACAGTCAAAAAAATGAAGTAAGCGCTGCATAGTTAGAATCTGAGAGCAAACCTCAAAGAAAACACCAGGGGCTAAATTCGTCTCCTTTGTTACATGCTTTTATATTTAGAGCAAGCGGCCCCTAAAAAATACTAGCAACTGGCAATGGAAAGGGAACATGAACGCCCTCTCCAGACTGTGTAATTTGTAAACCGCTAGAAACTTCCAAAAGGATAGTCCTGACATGCATCAAAATATACAAATTATTTCCCACTTCTGCCAAGGAAAATTGCCTATTGTTGCCATCGTGAATTTTGCCAGGTGTCAATGGCAGACCGTATTACTGAATTCAACTTCCTGTGACAATACAGCGTGAGCTGAGCTCTCACGCTACTTGAGGAATGCATGAGAGCTAAACTGTGCCTTTTCGAGTACTAGGTGAAACTTCATTCCTCTTCTGAAAAGCCCTGCAATTCAAGCTAAGGCACTCAGTGACTTTAGGACTAGTTGCACCGGGACTCTATTCCATAACTCGCAACAGGACTGGTGAGTGGCTCTTACAGTAAAGTAAACATGGGCTATTTCTGTGTTCCTGCTCCTCGTCCTGAAACGTTTCCTGGGATGTGATGCACATCTACATCATCCATCACACGTGTAAACGTTCTCAGGCTGGTTCCTTGCTCTTTTCCTGTGGGCCCAGACTTGCTGATCTGTGTGGGCTTTTTTCCCTCTGCCACCCAAAGTCTTTGCTCAAACTAGAAAGAAAACGAAGAGAATCTGAAAATGCCTCTGGAAGGAAAGGCAGGGCCCCCTGTGTTTCAAAGGCCAAAGCCTGGCTGTCGGTGTTACTACAGCTGCCGCTCACGGAGCGCGCACTGCACTGGGTAATACTGAAGCGCATAGTGGGTTGCTTTCCCCATTCTCTGCCACGAAGCCACGCTTTGTGTCGCTATACAGCTCTTTGAGTTATTTATATAGAACCTTTAAAATCAAACAGTGTTTACCTCTTCCCTGTCCTCAGCAGGTCAAATCCCTCGTTGATTTTATGGAAAGGAAGGGTGTGGGTTATTAATGGATCCAGAACAAATTTTTTCTCCATGTAGTCAGCAACCAGTTTAGGGACCGAGTCTTTGCTTTTCCAGCCTTAAAAAAATCCAGCCAATGGACAAGAAAAAAATTAAGTGCTTGTGAAAATAGAGAGTAGTCATGGCAGCTTAAATTCATAGGTGAACTTTCTTCTGTAGCCTCGCGTGATGAAACGTTGCATCACATCTTTACCCACCTTTGTGATACAAAGTACAAGCAGGTAACATGGCATATAGCGCAGCTGTGCTACAGTAGAGTCTAGCGCCTATGATGAACGCAGCAGTGCTCTACCAAAACAAGTCAAATTGCCTAGAACTTAAGTCTTTAAAGAACCCGATCCTCTTCCCATGTCAAATGCTGCTTCAGCATGCGTTGTGGAAAGTACCGATCCCTTGTGCCCAAAGACACACGTCACACAGAAGCCAGAGCGCTGACATCTGCGGGAGTAACTGGAAACTTGTTTCCCTGCACAAATAAACAGGAGACTGTTTTTTTCTTGCAAGCAGTGCTGGATAAAGTTGACTCAAATAGCAGGATCCTCATCCAGAAGAACCTAATATGTCCGTTTTGCTATTTTATTCAGTACCTGTTGACTGGATGAGAGGAGGTGGTCGGGGAAGGGAAAATCTAATGTTTGAAATAAGCTTCCCCTGGCCTTCGGCTGTGGGAGTCCGAGGACTTGCCACGTGTGGGGCTGTGCTTGGGACGGGCCGCAAACGAGAGCGTCTGGCTGGACTGAGGAGAGGGAGCTGCAAGGGGCTGAGTTGAGGCCTGAACTAAGTCGCACTCAGGTGGGCCTGACCCCCAGTGTCCTCTAGGGTCCTGACGTCCTTCTTGCCCTCTCGTTTGTTCACTCATCCATTCTTTCTTTCTCTGCTGCTTTGTCTCCCTGCTTCTGTCTCCCCCTTTCTCCCCCTTCCTCTCTCCCTTTCTCGCTCTCTCCAGCCTCTTGATCTCTGCCTTTCTCCTGCTCCCTCTCCCTCCCGTTTCACCTCTTACTCTCTCCCTTCCCCTTTTCTCTCCCCCTTTACTTCTCCCTTCCTTACTCCCTTCCTCTTTCTCCCTCCCTCTCCCCCTCCCTTTCTCTCACCTCCTCATGCTTATCTTTTTCTCTTCCTTTCTCTTCTCCTTCTCCCTCTCTCCCTGTCTGCTGTCTTCCTCTTTCTCTCTGCTATTCTCTATTTCCTCATCTTTTTTCTCCCTCTCTTTAGCTCTCCTTGCCTTCCTCTCTCTACCTTCCTCCCATGATTTCTCCCTCTCCCTGTTTCCCTCTCTCCCCCCTCTCCCCCTTCCATCTCTCCCATCTCCCTCGCTCCCCCATCTCCCTCTTGCTCCCCGCTCCCCCATCTCCCCTCGCTCTCCCCATCTCTCTCTCCGTATCCCTTTTCCCTTCCTCCCTGCTCTCTCTCTTCCCCCTCTTTCTTTCCCTCCTCTCTGCCTCCCCATCCCTCCCTCTCTCCTCCACTCTTACTCTCACTTTGTCACTTGCTCAGTCTCATGTTCATTCATTCTCTCACTTTTTGCTCATGCTCTCTCACTTGCTTGTGCTTTCATTCGCTTTTGCTCACTCATTCACTTCCTTGTGGTTGCTCTCTCTTGCTCTCTTTCATGCTCTCTCACCCTTCCTTTCCCTCTCCCTCATTCTTTTGTGCTCTTTCCCTTTCTTGCAGTTTCTCTCATTAGCGCTCTCTTGCTCATGCTGTTTTACTCTCTTGCTCACCCACTTTGTCTCACTCGCACTCTTTCACTCGCTCTTCCTCTTGCTTACTTGCGGTTTCTCTCACTTGCTCATACACCTTTTTCTCACTTACACTGTTGCTCGCCTTCCCTCTTTCTTCATTCACCACTTCTAGCTGTTAATCACAGTTTCTGTAACGAATTCCTTCTGTGCTCCCTTGTCAGCGTAGTAACTATCAACATTCTTCCAATAGGGCAGCCTAAGCAATCAATTTAGATATATCCCATTTGATTCCAAATGATTTACAAGTTTTCCAAGCAAGTTAAAGAGCATCTTTCCAATGTCCCTACCTCCAAAGACAGACCCTTTCCAGGTGCGACCACTGAAGAGGAGCATGGGGTCAAAACTGAGCTTTTCTGCTGCGGGGGGCACTCCCACGATCACACTGACCCCATAGTTGAAGTGGCAAGAGGCCAAGGCTGCAGCCTGAATTTAAAACAGAGAGGGTGACCTGGGGGTTATGCAAGATCTGCTGCTGAGGAGCAACGCTCTGAAATCCTCCTCCTCCTCCCCCTCCTCCTCCCCTCAGGGCTCTGCTGGCAGCGCCTATTGCAACTGAAACCATATCAGACAATTTCTGCAGCTCACACCATCCTATCTGCTGTCACAGGTTAGACACGTCCTGGCTTTGTTCGGTTTCCCCATTCTGTCCTATTAGTGATTAGCCACTGTTGGAGAGGATACACCAGGTTAGATGAGCATTTGTCTCCCCTGCTTTGGCCCTTCTTCTATCAGAATATTCAGGGGCTCCATGTAAGTTCCCTTTCCTAAGGTTTCCAAATGTGCTTCTGTCCCTAGATCTCAGTGGCAAATAGCTGCACTTTATGCTTGGAAATTCTGGTTAACACTTTGCCAGTGGCTCTGAGCTCCTCATCCTCGGTGCTGAGCAGGATAAGGAAGGGACAGCTAACAAGCTAATTCCTCTTTTGACTGTATCTTTTGGTTGCCTACCATGGTTTCAGTGTGACCTATGACTTCAAAGGAGTAGTCCACGCCGAGGCCAGTCATCTCCATCAACACTTCATGAATGGGCTTCGTGAAGTCTTTAGGGTTGACGCAGTCGGTGGCTCCCAGCTCTTTGGCCTTGGCAAACTTGTCCTTGTTGATGTCAACGCCAATGATGCGGGAAGCTCCAGCCGCCTTGCAGCCCATGACAACCGAGAGGCCAACTCCTCCGAGGCCAAAGACGGCACAGGTAGAGCCTGGTTCCACCTATAATAATCACAGGAACATGGCATCCTGTTATATTCCAGCTAAAGTACAGTGCATTTGTTTTGTATTATCCACACATTTTCACTTAAGCCAGTTCTTGTAACTTGGAGTTTACCTGTTGAGAAGGAATTTGCACATCTACTAACACAGTAGCCAGATACGCTGTTATAATCCTATATGTGACTAAGTTGTCACTAAAATATATTTCTGAGACTAGGCTTTCATTACAGGTCTCGGCTTCAGGTTTAGAGCCAGATTTTTTATGATGCTCTATATTCCATTGCTGTTAAAATCAGGCTGTAGTCTCACTCCCTTGGAGACAGAGCCAGCCGTAAAAGTCACGTTCTTGTAGTGCTCCAGATTATAAGCTTTCCATACAGCAGACTTCCAGGTATTCCTAAACTTACGTTACAGTAAAATAAATCAACCTTTTCATAACATTTTTCTAGGGATGATAAAGCTGGAGTTCTGAGAGGAACCTTTATAGATGGTAATAGCAAGTAAGGGTTTGGGGGGATTTTGAATTGTAGACTTCAAAGTACCTTATAGACGGAGAAACTGAGCAAAGAACTTAGTATCTTCTGTCCACCATGAAGTCAGCAAATAATGGAGTCTGTACCTCTGGCTCCTATGCTGATGACCCGCTTGCAGGCCCCAATCCTGAACAGACCCCAGAAGGCACCAGAAACAGCCACCGCAGCACCTACCTTGGCGGTCTGCAGTGCAGCCCCGTAACCAGTTGAAAATCCACAGCCAATCAGGCAGACTTTTTCCAAAGGAGCAGCAGCATCAATTTTGGCCACTGCGGTTTCATGCAGTACTGTGTATTCAGTGAAGGTGCTTGTACCAGCAAAATGGTGAATCGCTTTTCCTTTACAGGTAAATCTTGAGGTGCCATCAGGCATTAATGCAGAAGCTGGACCAATACTGTTCAAAAGAGAACCAGAAATAATGGCAAATGAGATCTGTTAAGCATGGCCAGTTTTTGTGTAAATAAAATCAAATAAGGGTTATAGGTAACCCAGGAAACTCACTCGTTTTTACGGCATAGATTGCCCTTGGTGCTTAAGCAAACGCTGCACTCCCCACACTGTGGAACAAAGAGTGGAATAACCTTGTCTCCTAGAAATAAAACAGTGATGACAAGGGGATTTAAGAAGACAAACAAGAAGCATGCAGGTAAAAACATGAAGCAAGTGTATGTAATACATAGAAAAAGATGCACTGTAAGTAAGTATATTGCTAGACTTAGTTCCTTCTGCGGTCCTTGGAAGATGAAACTTCTGCATGTGTCTTAAAAGACAGCATTAGTGCAGGGTTATGATGGCTAATTTCAATATGCAAACGCCCTCGTGTTCTTCATAGAACTGAGGCTGTGCTACGTGAGAAAAGCTAGTTAGCTACTGCCATTCACCAAGTACTTCGTCAGCAGTGCATCACATCTGCTTCTCCAAAGGAAAATAACAGCACACTGGTAAAGAAACTGAAATAAAAACAGATCCACTGGGGCAGGAGGTTAGAGTGCTGAGCTAACAAGGCTGTAAACTGTGCATAAGAAAAGGGGAAATTAAACATTAATTTGCCAGCCCTCTTGAGTCTCCTTTGTATTTGCTATCCTGTTATTGATGCATAGGTGTAAAGGCAGGTAAGCAGCTTCTCAGAGAAGCGGTGATATGCACAAGTAAAGACAAGATCTTGATTTCTCTAGCACAGTGATGTGATTAACAAAATTGCACATACATTCTCAGTGCAACGTATCCTGCTGTGCATTTTCCACCAGAATAGTGGAACAGTACTGTAAATCCCTCATGTAATTTATTGAAGCTAATGAAGTAGTTCAAGTTCTGGCAACCTTCTATAAAAAAAATAAACTACAGGGCTACAAACTACTAGGGCTACAAAGATGATTAGAGGGCTGGAGCACCTCTCCTATGAAGAAAGACTGCAAGAGCTGGGCCTGTTCAGCCTGGAGAAGAGAAGATTGAGAGGCGATCTCATCAATGTGTACAAGTATCTGAAGGGGGAGTGTCAAGAGGATGAGGCCAGCCTCTTCTCCGTGGTGCCCAGCGACAGGACAAGAGGCAATGGGCAGAAACTGAACCACAGGAAGTTCCATCTGAACCTGAGGAAAAACTTCTTCACTGTGAGGGTGACAGAGCACCGGCACAGGTTGCCCAGAGAGGTGGTGGAGTCTCCTTCGCTGGAGATATTCAAAACCCGTCTGGATGTGATCCTGGGCAATCTGCTCTAGGTGACCCTGCTTGAGCAGGGAGGTTGGACTGGATGATCTCCAGAGGTCCCTTCCAACCTAAACGATTCTGTGATTCTGTAATACAGACCATCTTGTGATTTGGTCGTTCTAAAACGTGGCTCATCTTTGAGCCTACACGTTCAAAGCCCAAGGAAATCTTTGATTTCCACTGAAAAGTGGAAAAACACCTTAGAGAACACGAGACTGCCCCTCTACCCCCAGTTAATTTAGAAGAACTGGGACATGGGCTTAGTAATCATTCTGCTAAAGAAACTGCAGGTCTTGGGGCTTTTTACAGAACTCAGGGGTGTAAATTAAGCATCAGAAATATTCTGTGTACGTGTTCAGAGATACTGTCTCAGCTCATGTGGAAACATATGGTTGCTAGAATTGGACAATCAAGTAATTTATCGAATTCTTGAAAACAGAGAAAAAGTGGTTTGAGCTGTCACTCTGATTTGAAATATATGTATTTGATTGGAGTTGGAACAAAGCAGAGATCGTTTAGAGAAGTCTTCTTATCATAGGTATCAACTTGCTTTAGACAGGCTTCTTACTTTGTTGCTAGTATGAACAAAGGGACTGAAAGCACAGCGGTATTAAAAGTGAACTACTTAGGCATGCTAACAAACTCTCTGGATAAAATTCAGCATTTCTGTATAGATTTGATTCATTGCAGTTTTTATCTTTATCACTTAGCTCTTGTTAGAATTTCTTAGGTCCAATAAAAGTGAACAGAAACTCTGTTACATTTTGCACTGTTTAGAGGAAAACGAGCACCTTTCATGGAGTTCTGTATCTCCCAACCGTGGGTCAAAGAGGGAGCAGTGAGAGGAGCAGCCCACGCTGATGATCGTCCTCGGAGTGACCCAGCCCATGGTGAGAACCCGCTGTGGGAAACCCTGACTCCTGAGCTGGTGCTTTGCACAAGCAAAGCCGGTGGCAGAGGGTGCATTCCAGGTATGCCCTGATATGTTTAAAGTGAAATACTTAAACAAATGCCTAAGCTCTGGTCTACTAAAGTCAGTGGATTATTTAGAGGTTAAGAGAACAGAAGCAGGCATTTTGAGTTGCTCTCTAATCCACTGCTTTGTCCCAAGGTAAGTTAATTATACCTGTATCATTCTTGAGAGAGATCAGTTGTATAAACCGTGTTTACAGAACTTGAAGCTAACATTTGATTCCCTCTGACCAACAGAGAAGAATGCATGTTCCCAGTCCCGTGACAGGAGGAGCACTACACAGGTCAAAAGCTAGCCCAGATGATTTTGCCAAAACCAAAAGAAATTGGATAGAAAATCTGGAAATAAATCAAGATTGGAAACAGTAAAAGAGATGTGAACGGTACACAGTGTCCTTTAAGATATCCTTGAATCGACTAAAAGCTGGGACATTTTCCTCTGCAATTCAGGTATTCACACGTGTCATGGTCTTTGATTTAAACAAGAGTCTGAAAGCTAAGCACAGGATTTGTGTTCAGTACTGTTTCATACCTGGTTTCACAGAAGTTACTCCTTCCCCAACACTCTCCACAACACCAGCTGCTTCATGCCCAAGGATTATGGGAAAAGGCATAACCAGCACACCACTTATCACATGGTCATCAGAGCGACAAATCCCTGTGGCTATGATCTGTTAAAAAAAAAAAAAAAAAAGAAGGCAAGAATATTTCAGCATTTAACTATGTCATATGCAGAAGTCACTTGCTCCCCGCAGAAGTCACATATATGAACAATAAACCTAAGGGGAGAACACTTGCGACTGTGTGATTCATGACTCATGATTTATTGTAGTCTGCAATCTATAAAGCAAGACTTCTCTGTGGATGTTTATTACGTGCTACTAAACAGTATAGGGAGACTCACTGACTGGCAGAACCACTGTTCTAGCAATATAATCATTTGTGAAGAACAGAATAAAATCAATTATTCCTAATATACATGTAAGGAATATATATTAAAAAATATTTGTAATCTATATACGTAGGCCACACATGACTACCCCACATCACATTTTACCTTTTCTTGCGTGTAGCCTTGTTTCTTTTGAAACATTCAGATAGGGCTTTACCACTTCTATCCTGACAAACACAAATGTCAGCCCCATGTGAGGTTTCTCTTCACTTGTGTAAGAACTGAAAATGGTCTAATATGAAAAAGGTTACTGACTTCTGCGGAGAGGGAAAGTTCTTAGAAATGTAACAAATGCTTAATACAGATAAAAAAAATAAATACCTAGCTATCTTGAACTATTTCCTAGCACAGAGTCAAACAACTAAGTACAAGAAAAGTCTTGCCCCGCTCTATAGGGGATTAAAATTTTTGCCTTTTACTGTAATTTTACAGAGCCTGTTAATAGCACTCACATCTTAGGTAAGAAAAACAAAACCTACCCGGACAGGCCTCTAGTCATTTTTTTAAAAGAACTTTATGAGTGAATTTAGGGCTTGAAGCACGTTCCATAGGAGCTCAGTGAATATTAACTACTTGCCTAGTAAATGTTTTCAAAGACTGGATCACTGAATCACAGAATCCCAGAATGGCCAAGGTTGGCAGGGACCTCTGGAGATCATCTAGTCCAAACCCGCTGCTCAAGCAGGGTCATCCAGAGCACATTGCACAGGGTCATGTCCAGGCAGGTTTTGAATATCTCCAGGGAAGGAGACTCCACAACCTCTCTGGGCAACCTGTGCCAGTGCTCAGTCGCCTTCACACACACACACACACACACACACACACACACACACA